GAGGTAGTTTCGGGTGTAACAGTACTACATAATACCCGACCTGTTTATTACCATTTGCAAATCCCACTAACGCTAACGCTAAGCGTAAGCAGGTTTTAAGTCGACCAATGCCATATTGATATCGATATCGATTCAACTAAACAGATCACATGCACGAATTTTAGTTGATATGCAATTCTCGAAATTATATTCATCTTTCACAATGTTTTCGAAAGTTAAATTTCTTGGTGTCAATTCTCCACTTTTATTTCGATGTTCAAATATAATACTTGAACCAAAAACATATACATATTCATTATATTGCTATAATACTCGATGGTATAATAGCATTAATAAGAAACGAAGGTCTTGACTTCATATCATGATTATTGAAAAAATTTTCATTCCTTTACTTATTTCGATAATATTGTTTCTAGTAATAAAACTAACATTAAGAAAATGACACTAAAAGTAGAAAAAGAAATAAAAGAATTAAAGCAAAAATTAATTGGATTTGATAAACAGGCATTTCCAGAGGTTTGTTTAAATTAAATTTGATTTCCAATGAAATTCGATTTCAATTAATTTATCTGATTTTTTCTTTCATTACTAGACTAGTGAATCACCATCATTTTCAGATGAAGAACTTTCAAAAATTTATGAAAATTTATCTACTCCACTTTCCGCACGTTTACCTAACAAGTTATCTCCTGGTGGCATAATTGATAAATTAGCATTATTAACCCCAAATTCTCGTGAAAGTCGACAACTACCTTTATCAGAATTGCCATCTGCTAAATTAATCAAAGAATCTTTAGAAAATGACATTATTCCTTTGATGGATACACTAGAAAAGGGAGATTTAGGTTTACAACATTACAACAATGTTATGTATGCTTGTGTAAGTATTTCATATTATTTATATTATCTGTACGGTATTTTAGTGCTTTGAAGAGGATTTAATAAATTTATTAATTAAATTATTCAGGCTTTAAAAAAAGAATGTAAAATTGGCAGAATTGACATTACAAAAAATAAAGGTTTGTAGATATATTTAATTTGTTTATTTCATTAAACTTCTTTATTATAATGGTGTTTTTCACTTTTTATTTTAGGATGTAGGATTAACTCCAAATGTTTTTACATATGAGCAACTAATAAATGTTTATTCGAGTGTGGGAGATGTCAAAAATGCTTTATCTGCATTTGATATGATCGAAAATGGTAAAATAAAAAGAATAAAAAAAGAAATTTTTTTATTGTCAAGTGTGGAAAGAGTAGTATTGCCCCTTCTTTGACATTTAATACTTTGATAACTTCTTTTTAGCTGGGCTTGAGCAAACAGTATACAGCTTTGCAAATTTAATTAAAGCATATGTAAACAATCTACAAATTGATGAAGCCTTCAACGTCTATTCCAAAATGAAGGCCGCTAAAATAATGCCCAATCAAGTAAATTTGAAATCATATTCAAGTATAAGATTGATTTATTCATATCTTTATTTTTAATTTTGTCACCACATTATTATTATTTTGCCATATGTTCTTTTTTTCATATATATTATACTTTTCTTGTAGCCAATTTTCTCAATGTTAATCAAGGGATGCATAAAAAATCGCGAGATAGCACGTGCTTGGAAAACTTTTGATCATATGCGACTAGAAGTTTGCCAACCTGATGAAGTGACTTATAGTCTAATGATTCATATTTGTGCAAAGGCAAGTAAATTATTTATAGATTTATTTTACATTTGCTTACGTATCAATAAATGATTCCTAATAAAATACTAGATGAGAGATGTAGAACGAGCTTTTGATCTGTATCAAGAGTTGACAGAAAAAGGGTTATGTCCAACTGATGTAACATTTAATTCTTTGATCGATGCATGCGCGCGTCGTAA